AATTGCCTGTTGGTACCAGTCATAATTTGGGTCAGTGACACTGCATCCTAACTGAGGCACATGTTATTCAAAACAATCTTGTTCAGTGTCTGGGTACCAATACTACATCTTGGAGGCCCTGAGATATAAACCTTGGTATCAGAGGCCCAGTATGAGGCCTAAAGCCTAAACTAAAGTAATGGTCAAGACTTTGCTAACATAAAGCAAAGTTAAGCTGTGAGCCAGAGGCAGGCCCTGCTCACAGAAGCTGGCAGGAAAAGGGCTGATGTTGCATAAATATATATTCACCTAGCAAAGTTAAAGTACAGAACACACTATACCGGAACATTCCACAGATAACATGGAACAGGCCGACCCATCCCAATGACAGGGGCAAAAGGGTAAAATGATGGATAGAGTTGTTTTGATCGAACCAACATGTACAAGGTGAGAGGCGGCACCTTACTACGTAGAGGGGTTGTACCTTGCTACGTAGAGGGGTTGTACCTTGCTACGTCAGGAGTGATGTGTAACTTGTTTGTATCTGTGGATAAGAAGGCATCCCTGAGTGGATATCTTTGTCTGGCCGAGGGGGCAGTGGAAAGTCCAGCCACTGACTGAGCTGAGTCCATTGCCGAGCGGCACTTTCTAGCAGTATGCCCGGTAGACTAAGTAATCTACGGGGAACTGAAATTGTGTCAGGGTCGCAATAAACCTGGCCGAGGTGCCTTCGTACCTTACTAGACTCTGTGGCCATTGGGGGTTCTCGTCGGGTTTGCTGTGTCAGCTATCTGCGCAGAGCTGGGGCAGCACACAGAGGGAACACACGCATGCACGCAGCCGAGTGATATCAACAGGAGAAAGCAGAGCACCACACCGGTAGCATCTGACAACACCTCACACCTTGTTCGGAGCCACTACCGGTCTCCCCGGCACAGAATTAGCGAGACAAGATGAAATTAAACTCACTTCAGTGGAGCTTTTAGGGAGCGGTGTCTTATGATCCCCCCTCTACCCACCTTAATACCTGGGCTTCGGACTTCCCTCCCCCTCTGCAGAACACCACAGTAACTGGGTTTCATGACAGCAGGTTTCTAGAGCCTGCGCCATGTCTGGAAAACTCTTCATCATACGCATCTTGCCCTTGTCTCTCTCCAGCGCATCACAGGGTGTGTCGCCACGGCAGCTGGGAACGAGCCCCCAGCCCAGCTAGGCTAGTGGGGTTCATGCTCTGGCACTAAAAAA